CATCCTGAAACTCTTCAATCCAGAAACGTACCTTCTATGAATCAAGTAAAGGTGCTAAGCCCTAAAAGACATGGATGAAGGTGTACCTTACTCTGAAAACTCTTCTTTTCAATGAAGTAGCTTGTAGGAAAAAATCAGAGGTACAATGCCCTGAAGAAAGTGATTAAGGCCTCTAATAGATTTCTGTGCCTCTTTGTCCAGTTTTAAAAATAAAGCTTTCATCCATTATCCAGTCTGAGTCATTGTCAGAAGTGGGATTGGAACCCACGCCTCCATTGGAGACTGCGACCTGAACGCAGCGCCTTAGACCGCTCGGCCATCCTGACACAGACCTAAACATTGATGTACCTTTTAGGATCCAAAATAATGCACCAGACACTACCAAATATTGATTAGGTTCTGAGTGTAATGTCTGTGCCTCGTTGGCGCAGTTGGCAGCGCGTCAGTCTCATAATCTGAAGGTCGTGAGTTCAAACCTCACACGATGCAATTTGATGCTTTTTTTCTGTGCTTTCACGTAAAACTCAAACTGCTTCTGTACCTTTTTGGGGATGACCTTCTGCACACAGAGATTAAAATAACTTCATTTAAAAGGCTTTCATAATAATGTTTATTTTTGTCTTCTGCTTGTGGAAATTTCCTTTGAAGTACTATTGATAAACGTGAAATTTTAACCCAGCCATCCAGAAGAGACTGTGACATGAACGCAGTGCCTTGGACAGCTCACCCGTCCTAAAACTCTTCAATCCAAAGACGCGCCTTTTAGGTATCAAGTAAAGGTGCAAAGCCCTGAAAGACATAGACTAAGGTGTACCTAGCTCTTTCAACTCTATAAAGTAGCTGGTAGGAACCAATTGGAGGCACAATGCCCTGCCGAAAAGCGATTAAGGCTTTAAATTGTTTTTTGTTGCCTCTTGGTCCAGTGTATCCATTTATTTCAAATAGTGGTTTCATCCAATTTCTACAATACGCCATTGTCAGAAATGGTATTCCAACCAGTACTTTGTCCATAAGACACTATGATCTGAATGCAGCGCCTTGGACCACTCAGCCATCCGGACACACTACTGATTTTTGAGGTACCTTTTAGGAACCAAATAAAGGCACCTAGCCCTGACAATTGTTGAGTAAGTTTTAAGAGTTTTATCCTAAAACTCTTCAATCCAATGACGTACCTTCTAGAAATCAAGTAAAGTTGCAAAGCCCTGAAAGACATAGATTGGCTCACCCATCCTGAAACTCTTCAATCCAGAAACGTACCTTCTATGAATCAAGTAAAGGTGCGAAGCCCTAAAAGACATGGATGAAGGTGTACCTTACTCTGAAAACTCTTCTTTTCAATGAAGTAGCTTGTAGAAAAAAATCAGAGGTACAATGCCCTGAAGAAAAGTGATTAAGGCCTCTAATAGATTTCTGTGCCTCTTTGTCCAGTTTTAAAAATAAAGCTTTCATACATTATCCAGTCTGTGTCATTGTCAGAAGTGGGATTTGAACCCACGCCTCCATTGGAGACTGCGACCTGAACGCAGCGCCTTAGACCGCTTGGCCATCCTGACACAGACCTGAACATTGATGTACCTTTTAGGATCCAAAATAATGCACCAGACACTACCAAATATTGATTAGGTTCTGAGTGCAATGTCTGTGCCTCGTTGGCGCAGTTGGCAGCGCGTCAGTCTCATAATCTGAAGGTTGTGAGTTCAAACCTCACACGAGGCAATTTCATGCTTTTTTTTCTGTGCTTTCACGTAAAACTCAAACTGCTTCTGTACCTTTTTGGGGATGACCTTCTGCACACAGAGATTAAAATAACTTCATTTAAAAGGCTTTCATAATAATGTTTATTTTTGTCTTCTGCTTGTGGAAATTTCCTTTGAAGTACTATTGATAAACGTGAAATTTTAACCCAGCCATCCAGAAGAGACTGTGACCTGAACGCAGTGCCTTGGACAGCTCACCCGTCCTAAAACTCTTCAATCCAAAGACGCGCCTTTTAGGTATCAAGTAAAGGTGCAAAGCCCGGACTTCCGGTTATGAGGTGGCCTGAGTAGTCGCACGTTAGCCTGCTCCCGCGATCATATTTTCAATTTACCTGTTGAACCTTGTTTTTTTTTCCATCCGCGCGACAGCAAAGTTTTATAAACTTACGGAAACCGTTTGGATCGCCTAATCATGTCTAAAAATAAAGTAAAAAATGCAGATAAGGATAAAGAGTGCTCGGCGATTTCCATGGCCGACATTAGCTCGCTGTTAGACGAGCACAGAGCATCCCTTTCGGCCGATTTCAAATCTTCATTTGAGACGCTCGCTTCTACGCTGGATAACATTCAGTCAGCTATTAATGATCACGGACAGCGGATTGATTCGCTCGAAGTTAATGCCACATCTGTCGACCAGCGGCTTCAGCAGCTTGAGGGCGCATGCTCTGAGTTGCAAAAGGACAACCACCTGCTTAAACAGAAAGTGGCGGATCTGGAGGGACGCAGCAGACGCCAAAACATCCGCATAATTGGTCTACCTGAATCAATCGAAGGCCCTCGTCCCACAGCGTTTTTCTCTCAACTGCTCGTGGAGGTGCTTGGTCCAGTTGTTCTTACCTCGCCACCCGAGATTGACAGAGTGCACCGGGGCTTTGCCCCTAAACCAGCGCCGGGTGGAAAACCACGAGCCGTTATCCTGCGTTTTCATAGATTCCAAATTAAAGATCTTGTAATTCGTGAGGCTCGCAAGCGAGGTGTTCTGCACTATAAAGGCCACTCGATCCGTATGTTTGACGACTACAGCCCCGACGTATTGAAGCAACGCGCCGAGTACAGGGAATCGATGGCAGAGTTATACAAGCGAGGATACAAGCCTGCGCTCCTGTTTCCATCCAAGCTGCGCATCACCCTTCCCAACGGAGATAAAACTTGGCTCCAGTCTGCTTCAGAAGCCGCTAAGTTTGTTCAAAACCTGGTCGTGAAGCCGTGATGTTTCGCTTTCTGGTAATACCGCGCTGATCTGTTCTGGAGACTGTGGTACTGTCTATTGAAACCCTTTTGTTTTGTTTTTTTGTTTTTTTTACAAAGCGCTATAGACTGTAAAAGTGTTTAAGCACCGCGGACTTCTGTGCCGTAGCACGAATACGAACTCAACCGACACAATCTTTGTTCTCTGCAGAAGGTTTAAACGGTTGCTGCTTGTGTGATGTGGAGTTATCTTTAAATAGTTTCAAATGTGGTCATAAGACATACCTTTTACTAGTTTAAGTCGCATATGGCTCAATATGTTCTTGATGGGTGTTCAGTTCACAAGGTTTAACTTTATTCAAATTTAATCACATACGTGGGACAGGGGGAGTGATATAGGGAAGTATTAATCTAAGCTGATATTTATATAAGAGTGCTTAGTATTGCTGGCTGCTTCGGCAACTGGTTTAGTGTTGGTATGTTTCATGTGTGTCTATTATTTGTGGTTCGTTTGTTCTTTTTGCTTTGTTTGTTTATTTTATTTTTCTATCGCTTGTGCTGCTACTTTTTTAATTTTTATGGGAGGCTATCAAGGTTGCAGACTGTCTTTTGGGATATTACCTCTAGATAACACCTATGTCAAATCATAACACCAGTTTAGTTTCCAGTGGCTCTCTGAGATTTATTAGCTGGAATGTGAAGGGGTTGAACTCACCTGTAAAACGCAATAAAGTGCTTGACCACTTGCGAAGTTTAAACATAAAAATTGCTTTTTTGCAGGAAACCCACCTTAAACCATCTGATTATTTAAAACTTCGTAGAGGTTGGGTAGGGCAACTTTACCACTCTTCATTCTCAAGTAAAGCTCGGGGGACTGCAATCTTAGTGCATAAATCAGTACCCTTATCTGTTTCTAAAGTTATAGCGGACCCTAATGGTCGTTTTGTTATTGTTATGGGTAAACTCTTTGGTAGCACATTGACACTGGCTAATGTATATGGCCCAAACTGGGATAATGAGGAATTTTATAAAAACTTCCTTTTCTCTCTTCCAGACATAAATTCTAGTCAGCTTATTCTGGGTGGGGATTTCAACTGCTGTATGGATTCCTCACTCGATCGCTCTTCTATAAAGCCAATATCTCAATCAAAATCATCTAAAATTATTCAATTGTTTATGGAGCAATACGCAGTCTCCGATGTATGGCGGTTTTTCAACCCCAGTGACAAACAGTTTTCTTTTTTCTCGCCTGTACATGGAACTTTTTCTCGAATTGATCTCTTTCTGGTGGATAATAAGTTGCTACCTTCAGTTCGTACCTGTTATTATAGTCCTATTGTAATCTCTGACCATGGTACCATCACAATGGATATTTCATTTCCAGGTGTTTCTCTCACGCGATCCCCATGGCGCTTTAATACACTTCTTCTCACTGATCAAAACTTTATTGATACTATTAACAGTCGTATTGATTTTTTCATTGCCACGAATGTTAATGAGGACACATCAGCATCTTTAATTTGGGAAACATGCAAAGCCTATTTACGCGGAGTGATTATCTCCTACTCCGCTTTTCGGAAAAAAAGTATTGCAGAAAGGAGTGACTCTATAACCAGGGATCTATTGGATTTACAGTCCAAATGCGCAGATGCACCGGATCCTCAATTAATTAAAGAGTTGCTTACTAAAAAGTCTGAATTTGATATACTAGCTGCTGATGAAGCAATTGATGCGTTACTTAAGTCACGCCACAAATATTATGAATCTGGAGATAAACCAGGCAAAATTTTAGCCCACCAAATCCGACAATCTGTCTCAACTCAACATATTTTGCAAATCAATACCAGTGATGGTCCAAGTATTAATCCTCAAACTATTAATGACCAGTTCAGAAGTTTTTATTCCACGTTGTATGCTTCTGAGTGTTCACCAGAAGAGCCTAAACTCAATGCTTTTTTCCATCCCCTAAATATTCCATCCATCGACACTGTGGCGTCTGCCGACCTGGATGAACCGTTTACTGTTGATGAAGTCAAAAGTGCATTATTTTCAATGCAGAGTGGGAAATGCCCCGGACCGGATGGTCTGCCCACGGAATTTTTTAAAATGTTTGCTGAAAAACTTTCTCCACTACTTTTAAATATGTTTAATGAATCTTTAAAATGTGGCATTCTCCCCCAAACACTAAGACAAGCCACTATTTCATTAATATTAAAAAAAGGCAAGGATCCGCTTTTGTGTAGCAACTACCGCCCTATCTCTTTGTTAGGTGCCGACGTAAAAATATTATCCAAGATGCTAGCACAGCGTCTAGAGAATATTCTGCCTACAATAATTTCCACAGACCAAACAGGGTTTATTAAAGGGAGACATTCTTTCCACAATATCAGACGCCTATTTAATATAATGTATTCTCCTTCATCATCTACCATTCCTGAGCTGGTCATTTCAATGGACGCAGAGAAAGCATTTGACCGGGTAGAGTGGACTTATTTGTTTTACACTCTAAAAAAATTTGGATTTGGCAGTACATTTATTTCTTGGATCAAACTTTTGTATACCTCTCCTTTAGCTCGCATCCGGACTAACAACAACCACTCTGACTATTTTCCCCTTCAACGCGGTACACGGCAGGGCTGCCCACTCTCTCCTTTACTGTTCGCCATTGCTATCGAACCCTTAGCGGTTGCCCTTAGGCTTAGTCAGGCGTTGGGGATCACAAGGGGGGGCTCGGTGCACACTTTGTCTCTATATGCTGATGATCTTTTACTCTTTATCTCCGATCCAGACAAATCTATACCTCAAGCATTATCCTTATTGGAAGAATTTGGACAGGTCTCAGGGTATAAGCTTAATTTTAACAAGAGTGAATTAATGCCTATAAACCCTGCAGCTATAAATTACCCTCTTTCAAAACTCCCATTTAAGATATCATTAGACCATTTAAACTATCTGGGCATATGTGTAACTAAAAATTATTCTGATCTCTTTAACTGTAATTTTTCCCCTCTGCTGGATCAAATATCTAAGGATTTCCAACGTTGGTCCTTGTTGCCCCTGTCCTTAGCAGGAAGGATAAATTGTATTAAAATGAATATATTGCCAAAATTCTTATACCTCTTTCAAAGCATACCAGTTTTTATTCCCAAGCATTTTTTTAATTCTCTGGATAGCTCCATCTCTCAATTTATTTGGAATGGGAAACCCCCCAGAATATGAAAAAGTGTCTTGCAAAAAACAAAGGAGTTGGGTGGTTTAGCACTGCCCAACTTCTTGTTCTACTATTGGGCGGCAAATGTCAGAAGCATGCTATTCTGGTGTAGTTCTGATTCTCAGTCTCCACCCTGGTTAAGGATTGAGGAGACAGCATGCACTAATTCATCGCTTGTGTCTCTCCTATGCTTACCCCTCTCAATGTCACCTTTAACATATTCCAATAATGTTATAGTTAAAAACTGCCTAAAGATCTGGTGCCAACTCAGGCGACATTTTACGGTACAGTCGACACCCCTTTTATGCCCAGTGTATCGCAACCCACTCTTTCCACCCTCTCTCATTGATAAGGCCTTTGCAAACTGGGCAAACTGTGGGATTAAGTCTATTAAACA